TAATTTAATCACATAATATAAGTTACATTATTAATCTCAAATTTTCATTTTCTTTATCATTAATCATTAAAGAATTATTTTATAGTAAAAAAAAAATGAATTAGTAATATTAAAAGCCCACCCTAATTTAAAAGACTTTATTTTATAGTTATAAACTGAAGAGAAAATTCAAATCATATTTTATTATTTACTTCTAAATTTCATATTTTATAATTTAATCTATAAATTAAATTATAAAAAGATTTTTTTAACATGTTTTTAAAGCATAAGATAAACGATATAATTAATTAATGTATTTTTTACAATTAATTTACATAAAAAAATAACTATTAACATTGAATTAATCAACTAACTAATTAAAAGTATACAATTTAAATTACACAGGATTTTTGAGTGCAGAAACACACTGTTTAAAAACATTTTGCCAACAAAATATCTTCAAAGGCCAAAGAAAAACTAAATATTCTTCTTTGTTTTAAAATCACTATTTTAAGAACAATTATTAGGATTTTATCTTTTCTGACTCCGTTAAATTTTAATTTTTCGAGTTTCCTTAGGCTCAAGTATTTTTCATGAATTAGACAAAGCATGGAATATTAGTTGATCATGAACGATGTAGGGGATGGAGGGAGAAAAATTACAACATATATATCAAGATTTACATGAGAGGAAGAAGGAAAAACAAAGGAAATGTCATGTTCTGAGTCTCACATAGTCACATGCCACACTTTTATATTATCTCAGCCATGACTACTTCCAGGTCCTCCTAGAGTTAAAACCACACCTTGAAGGTCACTTCTCAGCTTTGGTTCCTTTGCCACAGATTGGGTGGCTCCGTTGAAGGGATAAGGCCTGCTCACCTGAGCTCGCCGGAAGCTGTAACCAGATTCTGGCACAGTGAGTGTCATTGGCTGATGGGATGGCTTGAAGGGTTCTGCATTGCTTGAGTTTGAGAATGGATGAGCAACAGTGGTCTGGCTTGTCCATGCAGGATTTTGAACTGGCATTGATCCTCTAGAGATGATCTCCGGTCCCTAATGTCAATAAAGTATAAAATGCATGGCATTAGCATTAGCACTAGCTTGAACAAATACGCAAGTGAAGTTTTCTGAAGGCTTAAAGCTTACTGGTGCGAATAAGACTCCTCTGAATATCTTTCCATTGACAGTTGCTGTCATCAGAAAACCAGAATCGAAGGCTGCATCTACTTTACCTCTTACCTCGGAACCAATCTAAGTAAAACAGATGAGACATGTTAATTTGGAGACTAAATTCAAGGCAGAACAAAGACAAATGTGAAATACATGAGCAACATGGGAGAGAATCAATATAGCAATGTTGAACAAACAGTCTCAGGACATTTTCAAGAGAAACCAACTATTTACCATGTTTTGTATACTCCCTGTCTCCGGGGGTTTATGCTCTACTGTCAGGCACTGAGTTTCTTGTTTACCAGCATGAACAAAGTGGAGATATTGTTCTGGTTTTTGATGGTTTTGAAACTCTCTCAAATGGTGCAGGTTTTGTTGACTTCTCTGGATAACTGCAGGATTGTTAGTCTGAGAATCACTTGATTTCTGATGGAACTTAAATATGTTAAATCTTTGAGATCCTGTAGAATCTGTGGCTTTCTGTGCTGGGGCTTGTTCTTGATCAGATTGCGAAGGAGACGAATGCTGAGAGAGAGAAAGGGAATGTTCTTCTTGTTCTGATTCAACCTCCCATGCCTTTGAATTTGTTGTTCTCCTCCTCTTTGGATGCAAAGTATCTAAATAGTAAGAAAAGATCAAAGTTAATCGAACTTAAATTATCCCTCTGTACATAGGGAAAGGAGTTTTTAATGATCTGAAACCAACCCAAAATGATGCGTCTAGATTGCTTTGTTTCTAGCTCCAGTTCATGAGCTCCACCCTTTACCAATTCATTATCACTGAAAAATGTTGTTCTCTGATTCAAAACAAGTAAGCTATTTTAACTTCAGAATGGAATACCAAGTTTGGTTGCATTTCAGATTCATATAGGACATGCATTACCACATTGCTTTCCTCTGCTCTTTGAAGTCTCCTTTTTTCCTGGATCCAATGGTTACCAAAAATTTTGCACATGGAAATGTTGTAACGACCATTTGGATGCTCTGCTCCAAGTTGCAAGATCAGCAACTCGTTGAGAGGACGCTCATCCTCCCCACACCTGCATTTATGAAAAAAAATAAAGAGGTGAACAGAATCAAACATGGTGTCAAACATTGAGGAAAAGGGCTGCAAAAATGAATTTATATATCAGATAATCAAAGGAACTTACCCCCCATAGATGACAATATCAGTTTCTGTAACAATAGCAGTATGAGAAAACCTCCCTTGAGGTTGCTGGCCGGAAATGTCTAAACGTGACCATGAGCAAGCACTCACATCAAGGATCCAGACATCATTGTAGTAGTGCTTGTCTCCAACCCCTCCTATCACATAAACCTGCAAAAGCATGAATTGGCTTGGTATGAATCTCAAATATCATCTAATATGTGCTACAAATTAAATAAAGGACAAGCATAAGGAATCCATTTCATTCCAAAAATACTAAATTAGTAGCATGTCTTGCCTTCGTCCCAATGTTTACTGCAGCATGTCCTGCTCTAACTCCCGGAGAAGAGCCTTGAACAGCTAACTGTTACAAAAAAGAAACCACCATGCAAATCATATTCAGTCAAAACAAGATGCTAGTTAGGTCCTTATACCTGGAATACTGAAATTAAGAGGAAGTTCATACCCTTGACCAAGTTAAGGTTTCCATGTCAAACAACTCCACATCTCCATGATATCGATCACCACAGTCCCCACCATACACAAAAACCTTGTTACCCATTGCAATGGCACTGTGACTATCCCTGGAGGCGGGAATATCACCCTGCACCATAGGGGAAGTCCATTGCATAGTCTTAAGGTCCAAAATATGCAAATCATTCAAGTAATTTGCTTCACCTTCTCCACTTCCTCCAAAGATCACCAATTTGTCATTACCAATAAGTGTGGCAGTGTGACTTTCGCGAGGAGAAGGTGGAGTGCCTCTACATTCAGGTTGTATCCACTCTTTTGAATCAAGGTCCAATACGTGAAGATGGTTTACCTTCCTCAAACCGTTTGTGCCCCCAAACACTATCATCTTATTTTCCACAAGAACAGCACTGTGACTGTCTCTGGGGCCAGGTCCACGACCTGTTGTTTCAAGGGTGTTCCAGACCATTGTGTTGAGATTTAACATTAGAACATCACTGAAATGCAGGCCCCCACAACATCCCTGTAAAGTGTAATATGAGATTGATCTATCAAAACATGTAGCAATCAAAAAGGAAAATCAATATAAAATTCCTCTCAAAGCAGTCTTAGATATCTACCCTTTTTTATGTTCACCCATTTTTTTATGCACCATAGTCATGATAATCACTTCTAGGGGTAAAATAAAGCACATCTACAACTAACAAAATATGTGAACAGAACTTTCTTTTCCCCCAAACAGAGCATCTTCAGTTGATAGTTTCTACATTAGCATAGGGCAAAGCTTAGACCTTCAATCAACTTTATACCAGCAAATTATAAGGCCTTTTAGTAATAAAACCAAACACCATGTTAAGAATTTGATAATCAAACCAAACACCGTGTGAAGAACGCGATAAGTGATTAACTCTTAATTACAAAGAGAATTACAATATTGTCTCTAAACAAAGGAGAAAAAGAAATAAGAATGGAATCGAACGAGATGCATATCTATATCAAGAAAGGAAGAGTCTAACAGGCATTTTACCAAACAATTGTCCTGCTACTTTAAGAAACTGATGGAAAGACAGAGTTCAGATAATATTCCAACAAGAAACAAAGGGGAAAGTAGTAAAGACTAAACCCAGTTGAAGAAAGCATGTGTCTCCTTAGCCAAAGATAGCCATGTTGCAAACACATGAATTGTAAAAGCAAGCTCTCAAACCAAAACAACAAGAACAAATACCAAAAATGAAAGAAAAAGAATGACAAAAGATCGAACAAAGAAATTAACACATACCCCAAATACATAAATAACCCCATTGGAATAGCAGGCAGAATGCCCCCATCTCTCAGGAGGGTTGAATCCTAAAATCTTTGGATAGAGCCACATTGCTTTCTTCCTCGCAGCCTCAACTCCAAGAGATCCCATTTTTTCTCTCTCACCGGTGAAGGGTCTTTTATGTTTGTTTAGGTTTAACTCTACTTCAACACAGTGCTTGACAATGATGAAGAAGCGGAGGAGATGGAGATAGAAGGGTCAAAAGAGGACATGAACAAGCCAAGTGATATATCAACTATCAGTGTCAATGGACATGAAAAGATGGGAGCTTTCAAGTCTAAATCACTGTGGCAACCAACAGGAACAGAAGTTTGCGGTGAAAAGAACACTTATTTTTCCTTTTCACATTGTATTTGTTTTTAACTTCCCAAAAAAACAAGTTTTTATTTGAAGGAAAGTGATGTAAAATCAAAGAACACAAGTGTGGAGGATGACTTCTCTTGTGGGCATTTAAAAGAAGTTCCCCATTCTACCAAAAAAATAATAATAATAATAAAAGAAGTTCCCCATGTAGAGAAAAGATGGTTCTTTACTTCTGTACCTATTTCTTCATTTATTTTTCACAATTGTCTAGCTGAAAATGATGGAAGTTGTGGGGTTATTGGGTTGTTGGAAATGATGGGGAAGGTGGTGGTGTTTTTATGCTCTATTTTTTTTTTTTTTTTCTCTTTCTCTGAAGTCTGAAGTCACATGGGGTTTTCTTTCTCTCTTGGCATGATATTGGGATTGATGGAAGAGAAATCCTTTTCTTTCTCTCTTTTTCTTTCTTTCACTCAAAGTTCAAGGTGGGTTTATTGAAGTGGATCTAGAAATGTCTCTTCTCAAGCGTCTTTGGGGAAAGTGTGGGGCTTTGTGTTTTGCTAAGAAATTCCTTTTAGTCAGTTCAAAATAAAAAAAAAAAAAAATAGAAGAAAGGAATTCTTTTTAGTATTGGGAAATGGACAGCTGTTGTTTCCTTCAAGCAGTTAATGCTTTCCCCTTTCCCCTTATAGGTAGGAAATGTATATAAAATATAAATAAAAAGGTTTCTTCCAAATTCTCTTTTCCCTTTTATATAGTAACTAGTTAATACCCCGGGCAATGCCCGGGCCCTTGAAATTAAAAAAATAAAATAAAATTTTAATATTAAAAGAAAATTAGTAATGAAAGGATACATCATTACTTAAAAAATATATATATAACAGTGAGTTTTAGGGAATTTAATTTCAATTATGTCAATTCCACAATATATGCATATTTAACTACTTGGGGATACAATCAAAAACAACAAAATACTTGCGATGTTGTGTTTTATTATAGCCACAGTATCCGCTACCATATATGATTCACGAATAACATAGATGACGCAACCTCACTGTAAGGAATTTGCCATAAGAGGATTTTGCAATCAAATTTCAACTTGAAGAAACACTACTAGAAAACTCAAAATCACCGACGCCAAATCACCGACATAAAAATTATTATCGGTAAATGAGCATTTTACCGACAAGAAACATATCTGTAAATGTAGTAACAGTAAAAATTACAATAATTTATATTATTTAAAGTTCGGATAAAATCTTCGTCGGTAATTTAATGATATACACGTGTGCTCCTTGTCGGTAAAATTCTGCAAACTCCGGCTGGTGGCGCGAGGACCAATAACTCATATACCGACGTGATCCTTGTAGGTACCTACACAGTCTCCAACCCACCCCGTGAATCGGCTGCTCGTGCCAGGTTTGTGGCTTTTTTTTTTTATGTTTATTGACGTGATCCCGAACCAATCAAACGTTTACACCTCATTAAAGTAGGCCAACTCATCTTTAACATAAAAACAGCTCAGCACAGTTTAACGGAGAATTTCTACGGCCTTTCTCTCGTCTTCCCTTTCAGTTACTTCTCTAATCCTTCTCAAATCTTCCTCTCATAATTTCTACAGAATGATTCATTGTGGTTCCTGAAAGTTGCTTTTTCTCCTAAACTCATATCCAAACATTTTCTTCTGTCTCTCCACCTCCCTTCATTCTCACCTTCAGTTGAAAGTTTTTGGCTTTTGGTAATGGAATGTAAGCCTAAAAACGTTGGAATTTTTTTTTTTTTTTTTAAGATGTGACGGAAATGTTGAAAGGCAAGGAAAGGGATGTCGATGATGACCCAATTTTCGTTTCCTGGCTAATGCTTTTTTTCCCTTTTTTTTTTTTTTTGCCCTTTGAACAGGGTAAGTTTTTTTTTTTGAAAATGTGGCATTTTTAGTTCTCTTAATTCCCTTATATAATAATTTGCGCGTTCCTTTCTCCATTCCAAAATTCCACAACCTATTAAGGAATTACATATTCTGTTTGTTACTTTAATCATCCATTGGTTTATCAGTAATTCCAAAATCCCCTTGCATCTAGTGTTCCCAAATTGCAGAACCCATCAATGCGAAACAGTTTTTGGAAATTGAGGGTTAAAAGGGAATAGGGATCTAGTGGAGGCAAGCTTCTTGGAGAGGTGGGTTATGATTGCCATCATTGTTAGAGACAAAGTAGTGGGTGGAGGAGGAAGGGGAAGATCTGGGGAGGATTAGAGAAGAGAATACATCATGGGGAGGTGAACTAACTGGTGAGAAAGCATAAATATTTTTAAATATTTTTATATTTTTTGCATTAAGTTTAAATACTTGATTTTTTTTTTCTAAAATTTAAACTATCGAACATTTTCATTAGTTT